GAGGTGGAAAGAGGAGAGAGAGCACAAAGTGAGGAACACAGGATGACCACGTCTGCAGGGCTAGAGGTAAAAAACTGTATCAGGGATTTTTGTTAAACAGGTCGGCTTTAGCTGCTCTTGTCATCGAAATGTAACTGAGTGGAAGACTGTGCTAATCCACTTATCATGGTCACTGTACGCATCCCCTAGCGTCATGTTGTAAGCCTCAAATATGCACAGTGACATTTTCAGACAAGATCAGGCGTGTTCACAGTGATATGGCCATAGACCATAATGACATTTTCAAAATCGCAAAACTAGGTACAAAGTAGGAGATAGAAGTTTAATCTCAGGACCAAGAGATGCTCCCCACGCCCACCATGGAAGCCAGAGGGAAAGTCTGGGAGGTGCTGAGCAAGCCAGTCGTTCATACTTCTTCCTCTGGTAACCTAGGCTGGCACTTCCTAACCTGGGAGACAGTGTCCACAAGTGAACTAGAAGGCGTTTGGTCTCTAAGATGTGTGTGGGCTGGAGGAAGAAAGTGCCGTTTCTTGTGTGGTATTGCCTTGGCCTCTGCAGGTGGCTGGGAGGTTCTTGCCCAGAAAACAAACCCAGAAAAGGAATGGGCGTGTGATGTCCCTGAGTCCACCATGGTTGTGTGCTGGGCAGGGTCCCACCCGTGCACGAGGCATGGGGTGTGGAGAGAGAGGAATCTGAAGGGAGGTAGCTCACCATTTGGGAGGCCGTAGCTCTGGTCGTAGGTGACTAGGATGAAGGATTAAACAGGAGCTAAAGGACAAATACATGTTACTCGCCCAGCCTTAGCAGAAAATGAGATTGTCTCATCCTGTCTCGGGTTGTGTCATTAACAAGTTACAACTTGATGATAGGTAATTGCTTTAGTAACAAGTATTCAAATTGAAGCGATTTTAATTGTCAGTGCAAGGAGTGAGCTCCTGTAAAATAAAGTCTAACTCTCACAACTGGGGTTAGTATTGTCCCCATTGTCACAAAGAGCTGATTCATCCATATTTTCCTTTTAAATGTTTTGGTTTTTTTTTTTTTCCAACTTAAAGTTTGATAGCCGTTTTTCTTAGAATCCCTGGTTTACTTGTTATCACACCCAACCTTACTCCTTTTTTTTCCCCCATAGTCTTAGAGCTTTTTGCTTTTAGTAAGACAAAGAGATACTGAATTATCAGGCTCATTTTCCAGGAATTTCTCCTATAACTGAGAAGTTTATTTCCCCTCCTACTTCTGTGTTTAACATAAAAGGTCTAAACTGGGCAGTAAGCTAGGCCTGCCAGATGTGTTTGAAGTCACCCAAGGGCTTAGCTCATTCTTAACTTTTTCTGCTACTAGAAATATAAAATATAACTCTTAAGAACTGTATGGTTTCATTTTTTCCATAAAAAAAGGTAGTTGGTAGCCCTCCTAACAATGCTGAAGGATCTGCCCGCTCTGTGAATTGGCCTTGTGGAGCCATGGAGCCTGCATGGGGCTCTGTGGGCTCCGTGGGGCTGTCAGGGAGCAGCCATGGATGTGAGCTGTGTAGGACTCTCTGCAGAGGACCAGGCCCTTCATGGGCAGAGTTGGCACCACCAGCTGGATTCTCAGCACTGAAATACGACCTAGAAGTCAAACCCTACAAATGCAAATTCTCATGAGAAATCATAATGAAACCAGCAGTGAGTCAGAATTTCTGTCGAATGCTTCCTGATTTATTTGCTGGAACACATTTACTTATTTATTTGCTGACATATTCTGGCCCTGACACTCACTCTAGTTTTCTCTACTGTGATTGTGATTATCGCACTCAGCTGTCTCGTGCTGTGACAGTTCAGTGTTTTGACTCTTGGATTGCAAGGGTGCTTTCTACCTGTTTTAATAAGTTTCTTGGCTGTTTTCTCTTTGCTTCCTCCCCTCCTCCCCTCCTCTCAGGGAGCAGAGCCCAGCATTGAAGGTGGGGGGGCACTCTTGCATACTGTACTGACTGCTGTCTTACATGGAAGAGAAGGGGTGGAATTGCAGCTGGTCCACAGGGAGTGAGGAGTTGTGGCCCATGGGACTGCTTTCCATAGGAATGTCATTTGTTGCAAGCAGCAGCAGAATGAAGATGGTGACTAGCTGGACTGCATGACATGTCATATGGCACGACTTTCCTTGCTAAAAGTTCTTGTTGCCGTTGCTCATTTCTACTCCATCGCTCTAGACACATGCTTCTTACAAAGCACTGTCTGAGGCCACATGGTCCAGTGTGGGATTATGTGGAAAATCCAAATGCTGTGACTCTCGGTGATTTTCATTTTTATTTAATTTTGTTTTTAATTTACTCATGTGTGTATACAGTGTTTGGGCCACCTCCCCCCACCCCCGATTTTCGTTTTTACTATGCACTATCTCTGGGAGTGAACTGTGAGTGTGTTGGTCTGTGACTGAATGAGCAGCCCTTCCTAGGTTTCTGTTCTGTTTGACTTTGCATCTGATGAGTTCAAAGACTGTCTCCCTTCACGAGAATTGTGGTTCAGAGTCAGCCCAGGCAAATAGTCCATGAGACCCTATCTCGGAAAACCCTTCACCAAAAAAAAAAAAAAAAGTCTGGTGGAGTGGCTCAAGGTGTAGACCCTGAATTCAAGCTCCAGTACTGCAAAAAAAAAAAAAGTAGGCTGGAATCTTCTCCTGAGGAAGCTTAAATATTTAAGGTTGAGGATGTCAGATTAGTAGCATTAGAAATTATTTTCTTTGGGCTGGGGGGGCATGACTTAAGTGGTAAAGCACCTGCCTAGCAAAGCCCAGTACCTCCAAGGAAGGAAGAAAGGACAGGAGGGGGGTGAAAGGGAGGGAGGGAGGGAAGAAGGAAGGAAGAAAAGGGGTGGGAGGAAGGAAGGAAGGAAGGGGGTGGGAGGGAGAAAGGAAGGAAGGAAGGAAAAGGGAGGAAGGAAGATATTTTCTCCTAATGTACATGAACCAGCCTAATAGCTTGCCCTAAAAATAAATAAGCAAAAAGGTGCAAGTGTACTCACATTGCTAGTTTCGTATCCACCTGTGGTTTCCAGCCCTGACTTTCCCTTTTTCAGGAGTCAGGAGTGGCTGGGGATGTGGGCAGGTGCATGCTTGGCTGTGTGTCCGCTGCTGGCCTTTGTTGTCTGAGTGCTGCCTGGCCTGGACTGCGTGTCTGCCCTGCCCCAGGGTGGTGCCCTTCTTGCTCAGGCTAGTTCAGGACCCCGGCCAGCCTGTGTGACATGGATTTTGCCACTGGCTCATGTTGGATGCCATGGAGGCAGCCTTCTTTCTGTAAGAAGCAAAAAAACGGCTGCAGGTTTCTGAAGCCATTCCTTTTCTTCCCTCCGTTTTCTTCCTGAGTGCCTGTGTTTCTCAGGGCTCCCTGTATCCTGGTCCTTGAGTCCAGCTAAGGTGCCTTCCCAGCTCTCCTTGCTTCTCCGCTTTTGCACCTCCCAAAAAGATCACTTCTGTTGGTGTTGGGTGTGGTTTTCAGGCGCTCAATCTCAGCTTCTGGACACGCTCTAAGCCTCTTTCTTGCTGGCATCAGACCTCTGAACTCAAGACGGGTAGAAAAGATTTAGAGTCACAAAAAAATAAGCCAGGGAGAGAGGGGAAGAGTCAGGGCTAGGATTTTAAGGGGCTTTGGGGTGTGTCTAGTGTTACAGTTGGGTAAATATGGCTACCAGGGAAAAAAATCTATCTAAATCAGAGTGTGAGCAGGGGGCTCACCCATGACCTCCTCGCACTCATGGTGAGTGATGAAAATTCACAATGTGCCATTTTCATTAAAAAGCCAAGAAGCTGCATTTGCCCTAGATCTAAAGTCCGCATATGAGGGGGAACATACGATTTTTGGTCTTCTGAGTTTGGCTGACCTCACTCAGAATGATGTTCTCCAATTCCATCCATTTACCAGCGAATGATAACATTTCGTTCTTCTTCATGGCTGCATAAAATTCCATTGTGTATAGATACCACATTTTCTTAATTCATTTGTCAGTGCTGGGGCATCTTGGCTGTTTCCATAACTTTGCTATTGTGAATAGCGCTGCAATAAACATGGGTGTGCAGGTGCCTCTGGAGTGGCCTTTGTTGTATTTCTTTGGGTATATCCCCAGGAGTGGGATTGCTTTAGATCTAGGGCAAATGCAGCAATGTGGTTGGACTTGGATCACATGATAAGGGGAAAGCTCATTTGGGTGATATAGAAATAGTTAGAAAACCCAAAACATGAAAGCGTTTGATGTCCCCACTCCAGAGGAACTAATACAGAAACCTTAAAGCAACAGAGGTTATCATAAGAAGGGGATCAGGAACCAGGGTAAAGATCAGTTAGAGATGAATAAACATGGGTCATAACACATGTGTACATGAAAGCAGTGCTAGGAATATTTCTGTATAGCTATCCTTAACTCACCTAGCAAAAATGCTTTGTCTTCCTTATTAGGCTTGTCTCTTTTCTTCAACAAAACTAGTGATAAAGGCAGAACAGGACCTGCCTGGAACTGAGGGGGTAAGGGAGAAGAGGGTGGGAGAAGGGGGCAGGGGGGAGAAATGACCCAAACAATGTATGCACATGTGAATAAAGAATAAAAATAATAATAATAATAATAAAAGCCAAGAAGCTTTAAAAAAAAACAAAAAAGCAAAGCGATGTGGTGTGGAAGCAGGCACACAGCAGTAAAATGTGCTTGAAGGCACTGGCAGTGACAAAAGAGCGAGAGGTGTCAGCCTTGGACCTGCAGGGAGGGGTCAGGCAGAGCAGCTGCTGGGTCCTTCCCAGCTTGCAGGAGAGCCCCATTCTTTTGTTGGTAGCCCTGCTTTCAGGACAGAGGCTGCATTTACCTGCCAACCCTGTTTCTGGAAAGCAGAGTGACAAACTGCTTCTCAAAGCGCCTCATTTAGTGGAAACGGCCCAGATCCCAAACGCAGGTGCGAGGGTCCAGGGCCTCGAGCCAAGCTGCAGCCCCTGCCCTGCTCTTGCGAGAGTCACTTGAGTTCTCTGCTCTCTCTTTCAGAGTGAAGCTGCCTGGCTCCGTGGCCCCGAGGTCGCACGTCGGAGATCCCACAAGGGTCACCATGTTTTCAACCCAAAGCTGCTTACTCGTTTCTTTCGGATCTGAGCAACTCTACAGTTTGAGACGTCTGGGAACTGTGTCAGACAAGGAAGCAACGTGGCCAGAGGGAGGTGGCCTGCCTCTCTTGCTTGTCCCTGTGGGGCGTTCTTCATTGTGCTGTTTGTGGTGACTTCTGTTTTGGTTTCTAACTAAATGAGCTGAAGAGGTTATTGTCAAGCAAATGGGACATTTTCATTGGCCCTTTTAAATGGTAGCCAGTGTCTTATTTCCTTCTGACTTTGGTTTTGGCAAAGCAAATGTATCCCTCAGCATGCTAAAAGGTTCTGCAACACCCACTGAAGTGGTAAAATCTGGTATTTACTGGCTTACACTCAAAACTACCACAGTCCTACCTCAGTTCAAGGCAAAGCCTGATTGCGTGGTTGGGCACAGAGGACCTCCTGCATATCTACTCCAGGGTTGCCAGGGAGGTCTGAGGCCTCATCAGTGCTGAAGGGGACGCAGATTCCAGTCCAGGTACCTGCGACGTTTACGTGCGCACAGAGCCCAGTGTGGGACTGACGTTTCTCTACAGAAGTGAAATCTGGGATTGGACTATGAAGACAGATTAATAATAATTATTAGTAAATGGAACTGAAGCAACCTACTTTTGAAAAATTATCAACTATGTTGGGTAGTGGGGGAGGGCCTGGGAGGGGGTGGCTGTCTCTTTTTACCTTTAACAGGCTTGTTTGATCTCGGTGTAGATGTCCACGTAGGTACTTCAAATCGCAGAAGCCTTTCTTCCTACCCACAAGCTCAGACGTCTCTGCTCCCCGGAATCTCGGGCTTGTATTTCTTTAACCAAAAACTCACCTAGGCATGCCAACAATTCAAGGCTGGTCTGGTTTGGCAGATTTAATTTTTTAAATGTATTATCTTTAATATAAGGCTACCCTAAACAAAAAGAAGAGAGAGAGAGAAGGAGAGAGAGAGAGAGAGAGAGAGAGAGAGAGGGAGAGACTGATTGAAAAAAAAAAAAAAGCCATTCCAGCCCTTGTGCTATTAGTGGGAAATGAAAAGAGAAGGAAACCAGTCTCTCACAGTCTTGCTTGTCAAAAATTATTCTTGACAAGACTCCCCTTGTCTTAGGTTTTCAGTGTTCTGAAAATGTCAGTGTTGTGGCGATTGTGGCTGATGTCACCTGGAGCTGCTGAGCTAGCCAGCAGAATGTCCGTCACCTCGCTGCTCCCAATGCGGCAGGAGGCGCCACCCCCAGTGCCTGTCTCCCTGATAGTCCTGTGGAGGTCACCCTAATGCTTGGAGATGTGAGCTATTGGGTTTTTTTTGTTGTTGTTATTTTGTTTTTGTTTTGGAGAAATATATATATATATAAATAAATATATAGAGATATATCACTATAGAATAATGCATTAATAAAATGAGGCTTTTTAGAGGAAGACCAAAAGAATTCAATGTCTTAAAACTATATTTAATGGCAATGCAAAAGTCTTCCTGCTTCCGTGCTGAACTCTTAGCGGATTCATACTGCAAGACGAAGTTGAATGTAAAGTGACCCCCGGAGCGTTTTACTTTCCTGAAATTACACATCACAGCAGTGCAAAGGTCACAGTGTCAGCCTGAAGGTCAGTTGTAGTGGATGACATACCTTATCAAGATGTAGAAAATCTCCTGAAGCTTTAGTTTGGGGACTGGGCATTGGCGGATGGTCTTTGCTGCGTAGCTCCCCTGGGTACAGTGGGGCTGGATGTGGACCCTGCTGATCCCAGGGTGGTGACGTGCCCTTGGTCATGACAGGACACCAGTGACTCACGTCCCTCACCGCTGAACACAAGCAAAATAAAATGTCGATGCTACACTAAATCTTCCTCTATCCTGTACATTTCAAAGAAAAAAAAAGCATATGCAATATTTACATTTTAATTTAGTTTACAGAATGGAACCAAAATGTATAAATGCTATGTTTGCTAAAACTTCACAGTGTATATCGGGTCTTTGTATATTTTTGCCTGACTTACCTTAAATTTAAACTATTTTTTGCTAGATATACTTTAACAGTTATTAAACAGTGTTTTCCTTTGGGGTACGCATTGTTTCTGGACAAGACGTTGACTATAGTTCTTGCTAGTTTGTGCTGACAAGAGACTTCACTTTCCTGCTGTCTTCCATGTACACGCTGTATATAGGGTCGGTGTGGCGCTGCTGGGGACGGGAAGAAACTGGACTAGAGTAGGGTATTGTATTAGTCTGTACTCACCATGGTTCCCCTCCTTAATAGCCATATGCAATAAAATAAAATACATTATTTATGAAATGAATGAAGCTTTGACGATGTCCTTTCTGTATGGAGTCCAATTCTGGGGTTTTGGAGTCAAAGAGTAAATATTAGGCTTCTAGAAATACTCTGATAACTTTTTAATTTTAAAACTTCTTTTCCAGAAATCAGAAAGTGTCTCTTAATTCACAAAGTTTAGTGAAAAATTAATGTGATAAGGAAAAGAACAACTTTACTTACTTTATAAAACTGTTTGCAGTGACTGGGTGCTATTCTAAATGCTTTAGTTCATCACTTCAGAAGGAAAGAATTGTCATTCTGTTTCCATGGATGAGGAGATTGAGGCACAGAGAAGCGAAGTAACTTGTCTGAGGACACACAGTGGCACGAATCACTCCCAGCAGGGCAGCCTGGAGCCTGCCATCCTCTGCAGTGCTTCCTCCCCCCAGCACAGCAGGTGCACCAACATCAAGAGGACAGAGAAGTGCGACCCTTGGAGCCAAGGTGCAACTCAGGAGCAGAAAATACAAAATGATGCTGGCCTCACACGTGCCAAGCAATTGCCCTGCTGCTTGAAACACCTCTCCCCCTAGCCCTTTTTGCTTTATTTTTCAGGTAGGGTCTCGAGTTTTTGCCTGGGGCCAGCCTCAGACTGCGATCTTTCTACCTGTGCCTTGTGCGTAGCTCCTGTCCTCCAACCCCTCTGATCTGGCACACTGAACTCTTGGATGCCATGTAACAAAACACCCCACTGATGGATAGGTTTTTCTAGAGAAGATCCATAGGCCACAATAAAGGAGCTGTGTTGATGAGGATGTATTGAGCAGCAAGTGTGGAAACCCCAGTTCAGTGGCTCTTGGTTTGCACAGCTGTAATAAAATACCTTAGATTGGAAGGCTTATAAACAACAGTTTCTCACAGTTCTGGAGGCTTAGAAGACCAGAAACAAGGTGCTGGCGAATGTGGTGTCTAGAAGGCACTTTCTTGGTTGTCCTCGTGATGGACAGAAAGGGAGTCCTCTGGAGTCCCTTTTGTAGGGCACTGACCCCATTGAGGACTAAGGCTCCACCTCCCGACACCAGCATATTAGGCATCAGAATTTCAACCCGTCTCGGGGAAGAAGCAAACACAATAGTAGTAACAAGCTCAGACTTGCACTGAACTTGACTACTGATCAGAGGTGGCTGGGGAAAATGGATTGCTGTGCTCTGCTCTGGGAAATTTTCAGCAAAAAGATATCAAATCTTACATGACCGATGGAGAGCCAGAGATGTGGGTCTTTCTATCTTTCTGCTCAGGGGCCTCAATTTCTTTCTTTTTTTTTTTTGCAGTAGTGGGATTTGAACGCAGGGCCTACAACTTGAGCTACTCCACCAGACCTTTTTTTTTGTGATGGGTTTTTCAAGATTCAAGGGGTCTTAATTTCATTTCTCAGACCTGTGCTCTTGGACTCAGAAAATGGTGCGGCAGCTCTGAACAACAAACCCGATGTTATCCAATAAAGATGGAAAGATGCCAATGATAGACCACTCCACCAGTGCCACCTCTGCCTGCCTTCCGGTGCCCAGCCCTGGGTGACCTGGTTATTTTATGCAGATCATCAGGGAGGAGGTGATTCTGTGAGTGACTGACAGGCTGTTCGGGGAGGGAGGAGTTGACCTCCCATGAAGAAAGGTGGAAGGAAAGTTGGGTGTTGGTGCAGAGGACTAGGAAGCTGTGAGGTCATTTGGTAGACAACTGTTGGTGTCTGCTGCCTCTGCAGAGAAGGAAGTGTGGTCAGCTACACCTGGATGTGCCATCTGTGCTGTCCTCCCCGGGAAGCGTGTTCCAAATCCACAGTGCGTTGCAAAAGAGGTGTTTACCATGGCGTGCAAGTAGGAAGAGACTGTGAATGTAGCATCATCAGAAACAGTGGTGCTACAGAGCCTGTGTTTTCAACCCGTTATTTTCTGCATGAGATCTTCGTGTGTGTAGCCCTGCGTCATTGGCTGTATTGACAAGGTCAGGGTGCAAAGGGCTGGATGTTGAACTCTGAAAGCACAGTGAAGAGCGAGGACTTGCTAGACTGGGAAGAGAAACCTACAGTAGGATTGACTGGGATTGATGATGTTAGACACTGTAAGATTTGTTGACTCCCCAGAAGATAAAACCAGGCAAAGGGGTAGAACACAGAAGAAGATGTTCAATTTCCAGAAGGAAACAGATGTCACTTCTTATTTTTCACTGACACTACGGGGATACCTCAGAGGAGATGGGAATCCACCTCACCATGCATCAAGAAGAGGAAGACTGGGAATATTTTTTTGGTGGACGGTTCTAATGACCACATTATCACCTGTCTTCAACTCACCTAGGCAGAGCTAGCAACGCACCTGGACTCCAAAGCCCTCATCGTCTAGTTTTCAGTGTTTTGTCTGTTTGTTTCTTCCACAGAGGCTCCTTGAGGAAAAGGACCTGTGCAGACATAGTTCCTGCCAACGCTGTGTCCTGGAACTGCTGAGCAGCTGTGCTAAGACATCTCATCTCAAATTCCCAAACCACTATGGGCTAACTATTGCTCATAAACTGGAGCTTTGAAAGGTCATAGTTGCTCAAGGTCATGCTAACAAGCCAGTGAGTCAGCATTCAAAGCCCTTCCTCCAATCATAGCTCTTTCCCACTGTGTTTTGGGAGAGATAACACACAGTGGGCGCTCAGCAAATGTTCATTGACTGTTATGAATGAATGTATTAGCTTCTCTACTGCTGTGGGGCTTCAGCCTCAGGGATCTGATGACTTTGGTTGGTTGTACTGTACACTTGTATGATTTCTTCAATAGTTATCTTTTTTATTGGCCTTGTGAAGGTATGATATTAATTGGGGAATGAAGGTACATTCTCTGAGTTAGAATAAATGGCCAGTGTTGACTCCTAATGGCCCACCAAACCCTGTATATGTAGGAAATATATGTAGCTACACAAAACAGAAAAGGCAAAATGATAATGGCTTTGACCACCCAGGGCTGGGGAGGAAATACACACTGTGGCTGTCTCTCAGCAGTTGTGTGGTTGTGTGCTGTGCGACACCTTCCTTTCTCAGTGAAAGGACATGAACCTGATGCACCAAGGTTACTCAGAGCCTCAATTCTGGTGAGATATTCTTAGCTCTGGTCCTCACTCATCTACGCAGAGGCATCGGAGCAATTTGTTAGCAAGACTTCACAAGAGGAATCATTAGGCCTTCTAGGAAATTCTCTCAGCCTTTTCCACTCAGATGTGAGGAAGGACAGTGTGGCATTGCCACTGCTGTGAAGGTGGCTGCCTTTAGGGACAGAGAAACGAGGCACAGTGCACGCCTGCATACGCAAGTGACTTCACTGAATGGTTCCTTTCTCCGTTGTGCATCGGTTCAA